CATCATAACTTTTCTAAATGAAGATCTTCTAACTCCCAGGGCAGAGTTTAAATAGTTTGAATAATTTTTCCTGGTTAGCGTTTTTCTAGCGAATTCGTTTCCTATGGGATGGGGTCGGTAACCCCATGCCCAAGCCTCCTCCTTTATCCAGGCTTGGGATGAGCAGTAGCCACAGATGGGGTCCAGACGGAGTTATGGTTAGACCAATTATTTCAGGTCACATTGGAATGTAAACTGAGACCTTAATTAATGTTGATGCCTATGGCCGTGACGTAAATCTATAGATTTTTTGAAAACTGCTTATGCTAGTTGAAAATATTGCATTTTTATTAGAGCAGTCTTTGGTGCAAACGTTTTTTTGAAATTGATTGATCACTGAGTGGTGAACAATGTCATGTATGTCAAGTCCTTATTAATTCAGATCGAATGCTATCAACCATGATGCAATGTGGCCACCAGTCTAGGTGATTCGACACTGCGTGCACTATTGTGAGATTAGATGGTGGTTGGAGGTCGTCGACAGGAAACCCTGGACCCGGGTTTCGTGCTACTTGTCACTCGTCAGCAAGGTATACTTGACTTGACACACATGACACCACCCAGTGATCAATCAATTGTGATTCCATCTCAGTCCTACAGGAGGTTAGTCACGACTCGGATAGCTCAGTGGTAACGTCTCTGACTGTGAAGCTGGGTGACACGAGATCGAATCCGCCAGGGAGCATCAGTTCCCTGAAGATTACAGGTACACCTTGCTGACGAGTCCCATGTATCGCGTAACCGATGTCCAGGGTTTTCCGTCGACTACCTCTAACCACCGTCTAGTTTATTTTTTTACTACACAGATTTACACATACTACCAGTGTCAAGGAATAATTATTTGTAAAAAGTCTAACAATCTTGTCATTTGAGACTGTCCATTTTTAATGAAGAATCTAGAAAGGCGTTTTATCTTAATGTGGAACTTCTCGATGATAAGAAGCACCAATAGCAACAGAGATAGGTCCCAATAAATTCAGAGAGTGCAGCGAGAGCTTGACTGTCAGAATACACCGGTTTAAACTTCCAGTTTTGGTTAGTTTTCTTCATCATCTGTTGTCAGTAGTGATCCCTGTCATATTCCCATTGAATATGAATTCCGCTAGTAGCGGCTTCGCACTCATGATGAACTACTGTTGAACTCACGATTATCGTACAGCTTCAGTTATAGGTATCACGAAAACGACATTTTTTCGCTGAAGTGTTTCTTTTTTACAGTACGTTGCGGTTGTGTATACCGTCACGTTCACATTTTACATCACCAGCTGAATTTAGATATACATGAGACAGTTGTCACCAATGGGTCATGGCCGTACAAAATCTTGAGTTGACCAAAATTATATGCACAATGCAAAAGGGTCTCATACTATGATGAGACAGTTATTTATTACATCCTAGTTTGGCATGCTTATTGAGCTACAATATGTCATAATAGGTCCCATACAAGGGCAAAATGGCCGATCCGTAGTTCCAGGTTTTCAATGGTGGTCTAGCTTAGGTCGACACGTGGTTTTAACTGTGAAAATTTAGAAATCATCATAAAACAGAAATGCCAATATAACTCTTACTAGTTATTGTGTCATATGTCAATGTTTTTAGCAGTCTATTTCAGCTTTTTATTTATAAAATAGTATTTAAAAACATCATAATTACCAGGTCTAGCTTCAATTTTCGGAATCACAAATAACTTTATTTACATTGAATAAGTTAGTAGCTGTTTGAACTGAGTACCTTAATGAATGACGTGTTGCTATTTGAAACTATATGTACTAAGTGTGATGTTAATTGTGGACTGTAACATTAAGATTCGGGTGTACATCCAATCCAAAGTAAAAAGAAGCACAAATCTTGAATTCCACTCATAACCATACTTCAAATATACTTGATCATAATGATTATTTTTTGAACAATTTATTAGTTTTACCTATGAATTACGTCATTGAATGTAAAATGTACATCAAAAGTGAATCGTAATATCAGATACTTTAAATAAGATTCCAGTAGTCCCATAAAAATCTAATTATCTTCTACGTATTTGCAGATACAACTGATGGTTTCCGTGATTGTCGTACAGCTCTCACTGTATTTCTGAATGATATTATCACAGTTCACTTCCCACAGAAAACTTTTAAGACATTCGAAATCATTTTCAATCCTTAAAAACATCAAACTTTTGACATTAATTAGACATCCGTACACGAATATCTAACCGATTATATTTTGCAATTATTGGTGAGTTATTGAGCGATGTTCACACAAAAACATTCATACAAAGGGGCACCAAATACATACGCACCACACAATATTAGTGATTTATATGAGGGCCATCCTAAAGTCATAATTTAATTGAAAGATTGCTATTCCTCGGTTGTTTATGCTAAAATTCACATGACTTTTTCCCCCTAATGTGTTGGGGTGATCTAGAAAATTTCTCGCAAAAGACAAGCAAGTATCAGGAAACACTGAGACGCATTTCATCCAATCAACGTTCACTTGAAGTTTTAGCTAGAAATATCAATGGAGTGAAACGTCACATGTAGAGGTTCTGATTGACTGATTGCCATTCTACTACTATGTTTAGTAGCATTCCAGAATCTTCGAGCAATCCAAGGACATTTAAAATATTATAAAAGCCCTATATTTTCTGTATTGAGCCTTGGAGTAAAGTATTTCTCGCATACTTTTCGTCTTCTCGCTGGTGTTCAGTTTGCTGTATAGTTCTAGCTTGGGGTTACAAGAATAGCTTAGGAACCGAACATAGCGTTCGATTTGCAAGGTTTATCGATGTTAAGCCCATCATCAATTTCCATTATCCATCATGATGTTATGAATGATTGACATAGCTTATCAAACGAATACCGACCAGATTGAAGAGTAATTAATGTTATACAGTCATTTGATCGATTGTTGTCAGAAGTAATTTGATTTCGGATAATAAAAATAAATGTTTGTCAGTTAGGCAGTGGTTGCTGTATAAACCAAAATATTCTATGTAACTTAAATGAAGCTAAATTTAATTCATGGGCGTATAAAAGACAAAATTTTCGGATTTCATTAATAAGTGGATGGAAATTGGAAGCTCAACTACTGATTTAAATGAGAAAAAAAATGATGAGATGAAATCTACTTGTTATGGTTGGATCTTAACTAGGATTCATTAGCTGTTTTTTGAAAAGATCAATCTATTCCTACCTATTTTGGATTTTATGTTGATTAAGATGAATAATGAGATTAAGATTATTGTTTACTGCTTGATTTGTTCAACACATTTCAGCAATCATAACATCTACATACACGCATACTGTGATTTGATCACATTTAAACTCGAATGACTCATTCAGAATATAAACAAAGTCAAAACTTAGACACTGTTAGATGAACGTTTAATCCATAGTCATTTTGATATTAATTATCTCTTTAGACTTCTGAATTATCTTTTACTGAGTCCTTCTGTGAGCCACTTATTTATACTCAGAGTAATTTTCTTCAGTAAGTGACTTGTATACTTAATTCAACATGTAGAATAGTTATGGGTACAAAATCTACATGGAATTAATACTATTGCCAAAGGATTCCCAGGATACTGCTGAGTAAAATCACTTTCGGAAATATTCAATGCAAACTTAGTGTTTTTATCATTCACTAGTGTTACATCTTTGATGTTTTTACCCAATAATATACAGGAGGGAATTTGTTTCGATCTAGGTTAAGGCCTTGGTACGATAGGCTGACTTGTTTTAACTTGAAGCTGGAAATGTGTGAGTTTGAATCAAGACCAACTGCCTTGGGCAGAGAGACGAAAATTCTATCACCTGATCTGTTGACAAGCGAGAAAGCGAGAGAGAAGACTAGTCAACTGGAACACCACTCGATTTATTCCTGATCCTTAATTCAGATAAAGGTAAAAAGAACATGAATAAATCGATGACAAACGCGACCACAACGCATATACATTTAGGAAAATACAATCATGTCCAAATTGGACATTGACGTAGAAAAATGGAGTACAAAAGGTTACGTCTAAATTACAATGGCTTTGAAACAGAAAAGGGTATGACAGTGAACCATTCATCAAACGAATGCTTATGGTTTGTATAATAAACTAGGGACGAAACTAAATATTATTGCTCTTTAAGCTTTGAATCAAGTGAAATAACCTCCCTAAAATTAGCTTCTGTTGTTTGTCATGGCTCCTTTGTTCATGTCAAATAGACGCTCAAAGAAACTCATCTACATAAAAAACAAATTACCTTGATTAACCATTTTGATATGGATACCTGTCTTTTGGCTTATTTGGAGCTGGGTAAATATTTCATGCATTAAAGAATATTTCCTGACTTGTAAGAAAGTACCTTTCAGTGTAGCTTAGTGGAGGACAGTGCAGAAGTATGCAATCTTTCATTACGGAACATAATCATAACCAGGTAGTATTAGACTCATTATTTGAAACTATTTATTCAACTTAGATAATTTTGATTTGAACCGTTTTCCTCCTCAAAAGAAGAGTGAACCAAATTTCCTAGGTGAAGCATTAAGATGGTCTTAATTTCAGTTGGATGAAATAGGGTACAAAGATATATAATTCTCCATGAAACTTAATTGATTTTAATTAAAAGACTAATATTTGAACGAAGAATATCATTTTCGATAAATTCTCTTCAGGTTCTAAAACTATATATCCAAATTAATAATCCGAAAAATGGCCAGGTTAAGAGCAAAGTACATCGTTTAAAGTATGTGAATTTAGCGTTGTCAGTTCAATTGTTATCTTTATTAACAAAACTTCGTATTTATCGAAAATAGTACTCTTCGTACAAATATTAATCTTTTAATATGATGGGGATCTTTACATGATTTTAATTATTTTATTAGATTTTAACAAATTTTATTATGAATTATTTGTATTGCAGTAATTTTACTGTATGCTTGTTAATCTGTGCATTAACCATTTTCTTTGTTAGTTGATTCGTCAGTTCAAAAAAAGACTAATCAACAAATAAAACACATCTGGATGAATCCATCGAAACTTCAAGGAACAATAAAATCTCCGAATTATCCATCATTTTATCCACAGAATTGTAAACTATTATACATTATTAATATACCTGAAAAGAGATTGCTTCGATTGAAATTTTCAGATATTCAGTTAGGAAGTAACATACCGAGTACCAAGTAAGTTGGTCTATATATGTCGTGTTTTATTGACCAGTGTGATTACCGAAAATCTACTAAGTTGTAGTTGTTCTTGATGACTGGAGTTTCAAGAACTGTCTAAGACCACTTGATAAAGAATAAAAATAACTGAATTCTGGCCACGGTTAATGTTCACATTTTTTTAATGGTGTACACAGTATTTGGAGGTAATAAAATATCAAAATATATTCTGAGGATGACTAGACAGGATCCCAACTCAGTTATCTAAAAGCACTGCACTTGTCTAGAGATCTGGAGGTCCTGGGTTCAAAGACGGGAGTATGGTGGGTTTGTGGAAATTGCTTAATTTTTCTATTTTGAATAACTAACTCATCTTAGCTAGGCAACCATTTATAATCAAAAAGCACTGGACAACCGTTTCATTCTATTATGGCATTACTCAGTATTGGGGGATCCACAAACATACGGCCGAGTATCGGGTCCAATGTAGCTGCGGGCACCTAACCTTTAGACTACTGAAAAAGCGTCCCATGGTGTATATAGCCACAGTATTGCGCGACTCTATCTCATTGTATTCAGTGTCTTTCTTACCCACATTCGACATTTCTAAACTCCATTGGTTACTGCTTCTCGCTAGAACTCTTAGGATTGCACCTTCAAGTTAGTCACTGGTGAGCACATCACTGTTATGAGTAGAGGAGGTTTAGAGAGATCATTGAATACTGATTCATTAGTCTGAAGGTTAGGCACCCGCAGCTAGACTACAGGCTCTGGGCTCATTACTGAGTATCTCCATATTAGGACAAGACGGTTGTCCAGTGCTTCCTGACTAATGGTTGTCCAACTAATTTCAGTCAGTGATATAAAATATGGAATAAATAACTGACCGTCAAGGCGTGAGGTAATAAGTGTAGGATTTATTTTGACTACATATATCATACTGAAAATTCTGCGCTAAACGTCAACAACTTTATCTGTTTTTGTGTAATAACATAGAAATTACTTCCGGATTATGTGAAGAGCAAACCACCATTTGAATTAAAATAAATGAGGCACATGAATGATGACTTATCACGTACGTTGACGTTGTTGGCACAGTCATCCGTATATCAAAAGCCGAAAAACTCATATAAAAAATATGGATCGTTTTTATAACAAAACCACACGCTTACTAACAAAATGTTTGGGACGACAAAAAAACCTGACTAAAATTCACGTGAAACCTAACTGGTTGTAGTATTCAAATTTCATAGATCATTCACTAATCAACAAAACGGAAAATACGCACTAATGAGAAAATTCTAAACATAAACGAACAAACACTAATTCGCTGGTGAAACATTTCAAATACATGTGACTGAAAGAATAGAATTTTCTAATCCTGATTGAGCATTGAGTAGCTACTAATATCATGCTTATCTAGTCTTTACTGTTGACGAGATTTATCGAATAATTTTTAAGCAGCCATTACCTGATGTAACTCGACACAGTAATGTTCTGTGTTGGGAGCAATAAACATGGAGCCTAATTTGACATTTCATTCTTGTGATACTGACGTCTACTACTTCTAGAGTACATAATACTGATTATTACTAAGTTATCAGTTACTGAGTAAGCAATTTAGACAATATTGAATAAAATAAATAACTCCTTGAATGGCAATAACAATATTTTAACTAAAAAACAGAACATTAATTTACGAGGCTTTGTTTTGTTATTTATACGTTTGGATTATAAATTAAGTTATTACTGGTTCGCCCCCAAATGCCCGAGGGTGGGGAGAGTTAGCTTATCATCTACATTTATCTTCACCGGCTACCATGGGACTGCACCTCCTAGCGTTGCTCAACTGCTTTATGGATCAGACCTTTGGGTCGAAGGCTCCGGACGTAGCCTCCAAGGAGACCACCTGCTTTGGTCTGGGCACCCAGGTAGTATCACAGCCCACACACAAATCAAGTGACTTGTGTATTCAATGCCCCTTTGTTCCAATATTTATGTGTTCAAATAAATATAAATAAATATCACTGACTCAAGAATGAACCTAACCAATAATTTTAGTTTTTTTATTTAACTTTGTGATTCATGTGTAAGTTAACTATTTTAATGCTTAACAACAATCTGTGCTCAACTATTATCCGTGAATTATGCAATTTCCTGAAAACATTGAATCGACTTCCGATTTAACTGCCGTAGTGCGCGTAGGTTCGTTAAACGTTCACTCTGATAACTGTTATTACGAGGACTCCACGGGATTGAATTCAGAAAGCGATAAGAAGCCGCGACTACAATTTATTATCCGATCGCGCGGACCATAGAATTACAAACACATCAAGCGGATTTTAAGCGAAAAGGTCAATGAATCATCGCAAGCGACTATAGATGCAGATTTATAGTTATATCAAATAAAGGCACGGTGAATCAAAGTACAGTTCGTTTTTATAATACAAGCACATATATATGAGGGAAGGAGAATCATACATCTAGCTATATTTAAGTGATCAAGATTTTAGCTAGACAGGAATATGCGTTGGCTGTAATAAGCGTTCAAATATACACGTTTACGTGTTATAGCGATTCTACTAATACAAAGAGGTAAACGACTTGTTACTATGACGATGACACTTTCCGTCAGATGAAAGGGGTCGACAGGATTAACCGTTATCAAAATTATTCGTAATAGTGTTACTACACTACACCCTAAGAAAAACTGTAACAACCTAGTCTTTCTTAAAGTAAATTCGCAACAAATGTTTTGATATTTTTTATACCCAATTGTAACTACAGTTGAATCAATCATACGGTGTTAGCATTTTTAATTATTATTTGGAATTAAGGAACTCTTCAAAGGAATCACATCCACTTTGAAGAAAAATGAAAATGTATTGATTGTAGTAATTTAAACATGTATGATTCATGCCTTGTCGCTTCAAAATTACTCCTTTACTTTAGATGATGTTAAAATGGATTTAGACAATACTGGTAGAAGTGTGATCAAGCAGTGCTATTAACCAGCAATGTTATTCCTTGGTTGTCTGAGTAATGTCAACCAGTACGAACGCTATGATTTGACCTATGATTGGGCATTCCAAATAGATCGGTGGTGGTGACATTCAATCTTTACTCTGCTTCCCAACATCATAATTATTCATTTGTTGATTCCATCTAGTTCTTTAATACTTTTGTTTCTTAATATTACATTTTTCGCTATTACTATCTGATATTTTTGAAACTCCGATCTAGATGTACGCAACATGTGGGTGATCGTATAGAAATCTATGAAAAGAATTATTTAAATATTACACCCAATTTAATTTTGTGCGGGACATCAGTACCACAGGAACAAATAATGTTCAATAATAAATTTGAAGTGCAACGTGTATATATTTATTTTATTACAGACCATATAACAAGTACAAATGAGCTTGGTTTCATGTTGTCATATGAATATTCCACTAAGAATGATTATACTGAGAATAATAACAAATTATTTCTTATTCGTAAAGATTTATCCGACAAGGTTGATGATGGTAAGTAGTAATTGACATTTTCAAAAGGCCGAAATGCTTAATGCTGTAAAGTATGAGTTCATTTGTACATTTTTGGTATCCATGATAAATTAGTGTGGTGTTCCAGCCATTCGAGGTTGGTGAAGCCTCTCTCGGTAAAGCTCATAGGCTTATGCTGGTTAGAATTTGCCTTTTGAGGATCACCAACCCACCGCATGGACGTGATTTTGAGAGGGAACCCCTAGTCTTGGTGTGTAGGTGTTGAAGCCATGGGGAAGTATAGTCTTTACCCATGCATTCCTTGGCCTATACATAGGTATATTCATCCACCTAGGATGGTAGATAGTCACCTCTTCTTTTAAACGCATTTGTTACAGCTGACTATCTACTGAAGATTATGTGCATACCATCGGTGCAATGACTTTTGTCCATACACTTCAAGCAATACACACGAGCATAAATACTCTCTCAAGAGGGGTCGATGATCACCAATCCCTAGTATTTGCTGCCATATCCTTTTATTGTCTTCGATATGATGGTTTAGGCTGCTAACGTTATCAGATATAGGTAGACATGTTTTTCAGATTATCTTCCTTTTACGGTCCTGGCGCGTACCCTTTACATATACCTACATACACAACTACCAAAGCCGAGATTCATGCAATTCATATGCATGAGCGTACACATCGGGCAGCCCGCCACGACTTTTAAAGCTTTGATGAGTGAACTTTGAGCAATCCAAGCTCAGCACAAAGGTGGATTAGTCTGATCCTCGCCAACTGCCCGAATTAGCTAGCTACCTAGGAGTGCCACGAGGAGGCCTCAAATCGGATTTTGTTGCCAATAAATTATTGAAGGTTTACATTCAGTGTCTTTAATATTCTACTGAAAAATCTCAAATAGGGCGAAACGCACGTGATCAATTTTACTTCTAGCCATAATAAATATACTATAACTTGTGCCTAGATTCTATATATAGACAATACGCTCAGAATACATATATGAGCACTAGAATTAATCAGTTGCAGTCCTTATTGTTGACAAAGGGAAATTAGAAACTCCGACTAGTCCCTTTGATTCCTTTAAACAAGTTGGTGGCTATTTTGAATCAATAGCCGAGTGAGTAACGCATTGTTATTTTAGGTGAGAGTGATACAGGGTTCAAGCTTCACTGTGAATATTAATACATACAGCGAACGAGTTTCAAATAAAATGAAACTCTCTTCCTAGATTCCGTTGCTATCCATAAACTGGTTATACTACTTATGATAAATTATTCATAGAATCTCAAAGATCAACATCCATGAGCTCGTATTATTACTACACATAGCTGAAGTTCCCATTTTGGTGATATTATTGAGGCTGATTCCCTCTTTATCTGACTTCAATAAATAGTATCCTGTTAACTGAGTATTTAACACAAGATAAATTTCCTAGTACAATTATGGATTTACTCGAGATTAATCAAGAGCCTGAATACCAGTTACAGAGATAGTTTATTTACTAATTGAATTCATGAGTCAATTGAAGCTAGACCACCATGGGAAACCTGGAAGCCCTGAACAGCACCTCCACTATCCCGCCGCGCGAGATTCGAACCCAGGACCTATCAGTCTCGCGCGCAAACGCTTAACCTTCAGACCACTGAGCAGATATCCAGCGGTGTTGATGTCTAACTTCAACCAACCTACTATTGAGGAGTCCCATACTAGGATGGAACTGCCGTCCAGTGCTCCCAAGTTTTCCATGGTGACCTGGCTTCAATTAACTCGTGGAATTACTACAACCTCCACAAAATCCCTTTCAGATAGTTTATTGTCAGAAATTGGTGAAATCCGCAAGCACACAGTAAGCAGATAAATAATAACGTAGTTGAATGGGTTTACCAAGGTGTACTGATTAGTATCCATCATTTAAAGTAGTCAATCAGTCGTATAATATCAAAGTGCCGACTGGGGTATTTAATTTTACGAAGTAAATATTTATGAATACGGATATTTCATATATTAGCAAGACTTCAGTAGATATGATTGTCTAGGTAAAGTTAATATACGATGGCAAACCACGATAGTCAACAACGTCCGAAACCTTACTTTATTAATAAAATTATCAAGTTCTTAATGGAGGCTAACTTCGACAGCCGATTCCTTGATTTATGATGATAAGTAGTGATCAGTATTATTCAACCTTGTACGTCGTGAGACAGATATCACCAATCACAAAAGGTGATTGTCACCCAATATTCCAGATAGGTTGGAATTAGTGACCAATAGATTTCAACCCAGCGTATTGACAGTTAAGGATCGGAGAGATGTAGCAAGAACCTTAGTTTCACTCCTGTTGGGGCCATTAATGCACGCTCCGTTTGGTCCTACGCTAAGATGAAAGAACTGTTCAGTACTTCCTAATTTTTGGTGGTTACCTAACTACAGTTTGGCCGTTCTGTTAAACTATAAAACTCAACAGTTTCCGTTACCACCTAAACTATAGAATATGGTCAGTTAAACAAAGGAATTACAATAACATTATTATTATTATTATTATTATTATTATTATTATTATTATTATTATTATTATTATACAGTATGTTTGAGTAAAACCACAGACAATGACAAAACGCTTTTGTGGAATTCTGAATTGATTAAGTGCTGACGATCACATCCTTATTTATTGAGAGCATTAAAGTAAAGATTTTTTTATGTATTGTTGAAATTTCTTGGTTATCATGCTGTTATTGATAGACACCAATAAGACATGACCATAACATTGAACAAATGAATGCTTTATCAAGAATATAAATTGGGCAGTCAAGTTTTAATTGGAATGTCATCTTTTACATTGATGGCATGTAGAAGTTTACGTAGTGTGGATCTTGAATCCTACTACTACCTATTACACATTTTGTTGTTCACCACTGATTTTATTCTTCAGTGAGGTACATCCTCCGTTTTTTATCATCATGCTTAACTCAATAACGTTTATGTCGAAGTAACATCCTACATTCCGACCTACTTAGTCTGGTGCTCATGATTGAATACTATATTTCAAACTGATAATTTTCAAGATAATTCAGTTTATCATGTTGAAGTTTAAATAGAAAGACACTCGCTTTGATACTAGTTATAATCGAGCTCGTGACTCACTGATTTCATACATTCAATCCATGTAGCAAATCAGTCATTTTTAAATAATGTGTAACATAAACCACAAACGTTAAAAGTTCGCACCTAAACTATTTTAACACTCAAAATCCATTTTCACCACAAAGTATAGTATAAGATTATGTTCGTTGAATGTCTGTTTTGTTTAGATTTGAGACTCCTCAGTAATATACACTCAATATCCTATTAGATTTTTAACATGGAAACTAAATCTTTCAGTGAATATGGTTTATTAAAACATTTAATCCCATTCCAGTCTCATTTATTTTTTGAGCATATTTTTATAATCAAATTTTTAGAATTATTCGTTACTTTTTTAAATCAAATTATTCTCAAGATTCTTTGGAACAGATAAGGCAAACGTTGAAAAAACCTTTAGGATAATTGTATAGATATGAGTTTCGAATCGCGTTTCTAATCCCCATCAATAAACGCTGCGAATGTTATCTTCGTAAACCAGCGTATTGTTTTTGATCTCTTTCTATCTACACTATAATAACCCTTTTCTGTCCAATATTCCTATTTCATTCTTATTGAAATTTTAAAAAGAAAAAAGGGATACAAAAGTCAGTCAAATAAATTTTTATAAGTTATTTCTATCTTAAATATAGTTTATAGTATGCTATATCTAGTGCTTAGATTCTTAATATACCACATATAACGTGAGCACTCAAACGCTAGAACCCTCCTGATTGGCAAATGAGAAGACAAAAGATAGTGTCATTTATGATACAAAACTGTCAGGTATTTAAAGTTTTTCGTAAAAACGAAATCATCATTATAGTCCTCCAATACACATACAGGGGTTTATCAGCATTCGTCTAATAGGGAAGCCACACGTAGGGATTCCGGGATATTATTCCAAAAGATGATTGGATGGAATATCTTCGGCTCTCTCTGAGTTTCGTACACCATCCTTGAGTTCACTCATGGACCGTCCTCACATGGTAACATACTTAAAATTAACAATAAAAGAGAGTGCTTTGCCTGAAGTTTCACCTGATAAATCAGCAGAAATTTTGATTTTCGTGTCAATGTAACGTTCCTATACACAGTAGACTGGAAATATCGCAGCTAATTTTTATAAATTCTTTCTGTCGAAATTAATATTAAATATTTTTCAAAATTTTTGATAATTAATAAGTAATCTGGCAACAAAATGTTAGTTATTAATACGTTAGAACTTAAGACAAAAATATCAAAAGTGCTTTATTCACTATCCCTTGTACAGTTTCTGTCAGTAATATCACTGGCTTAGCATGTGAATCTCATCCGATTGTCAGTTTCGAAACAAATGCAGAGCTACAATATTTTTTACGTTTAAATTTTACTGTTTTTGACACTGAAGCTGATTAATAGTTTAGTGGATAAGGAGCTGTTATTCAAGTCAGTAGGTACTGAGTTTGAGTCTCGTTGTGAACATCAATACTTGAATGGAAGTTCATCTGAATTAGGGAGCAGAACAATCACCTAGAGACCTACTGGTGTTCACACTCCGATAATACGGACGAAGCTATTGAATGATTATTACATACACATATCCTGGTGCATTTTTAAAGTTAGAAATGAGAATTCTTTAGTTTTAACTCTGCTATTTCAAGCTTTTGGACTTACTGAGATATGGAAAATCCGTGGTTTGGACCGAAATTAGTGTGCAATATTGAAGAGACGTGATCAATGGTGAATTCGTTGTTTTCGTTTTCCTCTGACTTGATATCACTTGCTCACTATATGGATCTTCTTAATTTGTAGTAAGAAGTAGTGAAACAGGTCGTCTGTAAGATTGTAATTCCCTAGTGATATTGGTTAATAAAATTTCTACATATTGCGAACTGACGAAATTTCAAAACAGTAACGGAA